TCCTGCTGGTGTCTTTTAGTCAAGCACTGAGGGGTAGTAGAAAATGGCAAAACATTTAAGTAACCTTTTCCCCTGTGCACATTTAGAAATGGTATAGGGGCCACATGCCCTTAGATGGTTGGAGTAAATGCCTTTTTTATTCTTCCTTAAAAATAGCTCATTTATTGTTGATAAGGAAATAGATGCTAAGTGAGAAAGGAAAACATCGTCAGGGAAGCATTATGCTTCAGGATGGAAGAAGCTGCGTTCTGCAAAGCGAGGGCACCAGAGCGTGAACGTTGATGTGTGCTAACACAGCAAAGGAGACCAGAACTTGTTGCCCATTTATTCTAACCAGCCTTAGGAAATCATTGATTTTTAGGGTGTAAACATGTACTTATTTTTAAATGTTTTATGTTTTTGCAATTTGCCATACAGTGTGTGTACTTGCCATAGAGAGAGAAACAGAGAAAAAGGGAGCAAGCTCCTTCCCCTACATGGAGCATGATCATGCTGCAATCCCTTCTCCACTTTTCCCTCCTTTTCGGATTTTAAGCACATGCTGTGTCTGGAACATGAACCGAACAGCAGGCCATGTGGGATCCAGCTGCTTTAATGGCCACATCATTGGCTAGCCCCAAACATGTACATTTTTATAATAATTGTCCTTGAAATCTTCCTACTTGTAAATTCTAGTTCTATTAGTGAAAAAGATTCCAATTTTCACAGATACTGTGTTTTTCACTACACAGACTAGTTAAAAAGATTTATTCCCTGTTGTACTTGCCCACTATGCATGAATGGTCTTCTAAGAAAGAACACTTCATTAGAGTGGGAGAGGGGCTACAGAAAGATAGTCCATACTTTCTCGTGAGGGGTAACCCCCAAAACTGATGCGCACACACACACTTCCTGCTGTCCCACATAGGTGACTCTGAAGGAGGAACAGACCATTCTGCCCCTGGTGGATGAAGCTCTTCAGCACACGACTACCAAAGGCATTGTTTTTCAACATCCAGAGATTATTGCAGACATGAATCTGGTGAGACAGGATCTCCATTTAGAACCTTTTTATTGGAAACTCCCAGAACAATTTGAAGGAAGGAAGGTAAGACCAAGGACTTTGAGGTGGTGTGACAACAAAGTAAAAATGTGTTTTCAGAATCATACCATTTGGAGATTTATCTAAATAACCACTCTTCTTTCCATTTTGTCAGTTGATGGCCTACGGGGGCAAACTCAAGTACACGATTTATTTTGAGGCTCGGGAAGAGACAGGTTTCTCGACATATAATCCTCAGGTTATCATCCGAGGTGGGACTCCTATTCATGCAAGAATTATCGTGAGGCATATGGCTGCTCCTTTAATTGGGCAACTGACAAGGCATGAAATCGAAATGACAGAGGTAACATTATTAGTTGGTTGGTGCGAATATGCCAGTGGTTTTGCACTCAGTTTTGTCTGACCAGTTTCTTATTTTGTTAACAGAAAGAATGGAAATATTATGGTGATGATCCTCGAATCAGCAGAACTGTGACCCGTGAAGACTTCTTGGATATACTATATGATATTCATTATATTCTTATCAAGGCTACTTATGGAAATTTCATGCGACAAAGCAGGTAAACTCTAGTAGAAAATACCCAAGTATTACTCGAGAATCTGTAGACCAGTGAGACAACAGATAAGAAAGATTTAGAAGTAATTGGTTTGGTAGTGTGATAAAAGATAAGGCAAGGTCACCTGACCGAAGTTACTGCCATTTACCCAAAAAAGGAAAATTATGAGAAGCAAATTTAAAGGAGAAAAATATTTCATTCATCCTAGACATGGTGAGTTTAAGATGTCGTTAGCAATTGAGGAAATGTACTGTAGGTCAGTTGTAATGACCTGTTCTATAGTAGGTGTCAAATTTGTCAAGAAAATAACCTCCATCAGTCATGGGGAAAGCAAGTAGGATCTTCTTTGGTCCTTGTTCTCCACTCACAAGCATCTCATCTGTTCATTCCATGGTGCCATATGTTACTGTCATCTCCTGTATCATGATGTGAGATAAGTATGAATCACACTGAAACACATACACACACACATGACAGAAAGCATGAATGGGGTATCATGGCACCCAAATGGAAATATTTCAAAGGGATATTCAGTGTTTTCACATGACCCAAAGAGGATAATTAAAATGAGGCTATTTGCATTGACACTTGGGACCACAGGTGTAGCACTGATGATACCAGCTTCAGTAGGGTCCTGGGGAAGAAATAATCTCAAAGTTTTAAAGAATATGAGACACAATGAAGCTAATATTTATGAATAAAGACTGTTGTTTTCCATGAACATAATTATAAAAGGAAAAATGGCATAGTGTTAAAGTCAAGGGATATATGTTTAAATTGAGGGCGAAGTATACATGTTTATAAACCATGAAAAAGGATTAAGTAGTGAGGAAAATATTTTAAGATATATGATAGAATAAGGACAGAACAGTTCATGGAAGGGCCAGGAGAGGTCAACATCATGATCAAACATGGTTTGCTCCTTGAGAAATGATAACTTTCCTAGTTTATTTATTTATTTTTTTGGAGAGGTTTTTGCTATAGGGCGCATGTGCTTGCCAGACAGACAGAGAGAGACAGACAGAAAGCAAGAAATCACGCCCCCGGGAGGGATTGCCACACTGCAATACCATCTCCTCCATTCTCCTCTCGGGATCTTGGGCATGCACGCACATGCGCCCGGCGTGAGTTTAAGCCACCGGTCTGGGACTCAATCTGCGGTTGACTACGTGGGAGTCCAGCGACATAGCTATTACGCTAACTGCTGGTCCCAAGAAACGACACCTTTTCTAATCAGATAATATGAGGAAGCACACAGATTTATATCATTCTGATGCCATAGAAGCAGTAGGGAATTAAAGTTCATATGCATAGTCTCAATTTCTCTTTTGTGTGTTTCTCTGTTATGTTCTGAACACTACATAATCAGTGTGTGTGTATGTGTGTGTAAACATATATATATATATATTGTGTCAGATATATTGGAGAGGTTTTGTCTATAGGGTGTATGTGCTCACCAGAAAGACAGAGAGAACCTGAGAGACAGAAAGTGAGAAATCACCCCCCAGGGGGATGGCCATTCTGCAATCCCTTTCCTCCATTCTCCTCTCAGGATCTTGGGTATGCATCCACATGCGCCTGGCATGAATTTAAGCACCGGGTCCAGGACTCAAACTGCAGTTCACCAGATGAGAGTCCAGCAACAGAGCCATTGCACCAACTGCTGGTCCCTCAATGTATCTTTTTAAGTGATTACATATGATAAATGAATAGACAAGGCCAAGAAAACAAGACCAAAAAAAAAAGATAAAACCTCTTATTGTCAAACTAATGAATATACAAACATCATATTTCAAATATTTATACTGTACCTAAGCACATAATATAGCAGAAAGTTCTTTATTTCATACAAGAGATCCAGTTGTTTGAGTGATGGAGAGATTTTTGGTAAAAATCAAGATTCAAAATTCACCTTTAAATTTGTATTCATTTGGTTTCCTTGTCATATTTCTCACTGTAATAGGAGATTATTATTATATGAAATAATTTTTAACATGTACTAAATTGCTGTCAGCTCTATTGTTAATTATTTTAGAATATCAAATGAAAATCTGGTGGCAGAAGCATAAGTAGGTTTGCATGTCACAGAAGACAGTCAATTGTTTTGCAAATTGTTCACTGCTACAATGAGAGAGTTTGGTGTAGTACACAGAGCATTGTGTTAGTGGAACTGATGGGAACAGTGTTGTCATGCATTTTTCATTACACTTTCTTTGCTTCTCTCACCAGTTTCACCTTCCTTTACTGTGACACTCTGTCTTTTCTCTCCATATGTCTGTCTTCTTCTCCTAGTAACTCACATGCCTCATTAAATGAACTCCTTTGGTTTAAGTGACCATTTTTTGAAATTTTAGATTAAGTAAATATTTTACTTTTTCTAAACTCAGTAAAAACTTGAGTCGTCATCTAGCAATGATAAAAACAAATAAGGCAGCTCATCAGCACTTGATTTTGTCAGACAGTGAAATGTGACAGTTTTTTAAACAAAATGTTTTCCCATTTCCCCCAAAGTAATTAAAGCATAAAGCCGCACCCTTATTTAGGTGTGAATTTTCAGCAGTCTCAGAGATGGAGAGTTTAAGAGTCAGGGTTTGATTTTTAGACTGTACATTTTGTCAATGCAGGCATTTTCATTTCTCTTTCCTTTTGTCTTCCCTTACCTTTATCTGAAAGAAATAAAAACTTTTGCATTTCAGTATACAATTAAAGAGAAGCCTGAGTTTGGCCAAATCCCTGATGCAGGCAAAACTATTGCTCTGAAATCCCCTGAGAAAGATAGTGTATTGCAGAAATAGCTGTGGTTGTGAGCATTCAAGCTTCACTGGATTTTTGAACACCTGCTAGTCTGTTGTGTGCATGCATGTGCAAGAGAAGAGGTGATGCTAGCAGCTCCTCAAGCTACACAATACCATGGAAATGCCAATGCAACTCATCAAGAAAAACTAAGTTCCTTCTTATTCCCAAAAAGTCTGGAGAATCTAAGGGTGGAGTCTTTCTGACAGGAGGGGAGTGGTGTGTTCATAGCTCACTACCACTGTGTGAACCATAAGGAGAGGAGATTAAACCTGAATTTCAACTGAACCTGTGGTTTGTAAAGGCTGGCTGATCTTCAGAGTGCAGATTACAGTGCTAGCGAAGCCAGAACGTGCATTCATAATTCAGCTTCAATAAAACCTACCTATGCTTGTTATAAAGTTTATGATTCAAACTCCTTAAGCTATTGGAGCTACCTTTTATTGAAAGAAAACTATTCATTGTCTCATTTAAAAGTTTATTTGCAGAACGTTTTCATGTTACTGGTTAGTCAGTCATGAAATAGTTTGAGTTTATGGGCTGCATGTATTTCTAATGTATTCTTTCAAATTAATGAATAGGCTATCTATATTTTCACTGTGAATTATTTTTTTTCAATTATGAGCACTTTTCTAACAACAGAAGGGTGAGTTGAGTTACTTGAAGGAGTTATTTAATAAAGTTAACTAAATATTAATTTGAAATGTTCTTTATTCTTAAAATGACTTCAGTATTATTATAATATACTTCATCAATGTTTTCTAGATGGTTTTCTAAAGCTCTAAAAAGGACATTCAGAGGCAAGGGAGGGAAATTCAGGGACAGTAGTAAATTAAAAGCAATTTCACTAGTGACTAAAGGAGACATTCTAACAGAGAATGACCTTGAGTTGTCTGTTTGAACGAATATAAATGTCTAATTAATTGGCCATGTCTACCTAAAGCCACTCACATTTTAAAAAGTGGGAAAAAGAATCTTTATAATAACTTCTCAACAGGATAGCAGACATCCAATTTACTGAACTCCTTATGATTTATGTGGATATTTTGCTAATGTATAATTTCAACCTTTAAGGAAGCAAAAATGCAGTAATAAGATGTGGTATGTGAGCCCCTAGAATTTAGGCCGCTTCAAAACAATATGCTAATTATATGACTTAGTCATTCTCCAATGTATACATATATCAAAAGTCACAGTGTTGTTTGATAAACACATATATATGATTATTATTTGTCAATTAAAAACAAAAGTACCATAGAACATACTTGAGGTTCCAAACAGCTGAGATTGTTCTTGTGGGATTGTTTCCTGGGTGACCCTCCTCTCTGACTGCTGTGATAATCTTGTATCTGCTTGCTGCTCCCAGAATTTCGGAAATCTCAATGGAGGAAGCTGAACAAGGGCACGCAACAACACTGACTCCTCCAGCGCACTTGATAGAAAAATGTGACTGTCCCCCAGGCTATTCCGGCTTATCCTGTGAGGTAAGCTGGCTCCTGTGACCCTGATTAATTGCAACACACTTCAGAAGACGAGTAGAAATACTCCCAGAACTACTTTTGCTGCCACTGGTTTTACTTTCATGCATGTTCTAAACCCACTTTATTTGATCTTCCACTCAGAGTGAGACACAGTAGCAAGAGAATGATGTCATTGTTATCAGTAGTACAAATTAGAATGGAAATGATATATGTGATTAAAAAATGGAAAAATTTGTGAAAATATGGAGCAGTGATAAAATAGGACCCATTTATTAGAACTGGTCTATTCTCTTGGCACCACTTCTGAACAGTCAGAGAAACTTAAACTGCGGTGATTGTTGATTATGAGATAAAATTACATCAGATTCTAAAGCACTTTTATATAGAACATGACAAAACGTATGCGCTAAATAGTAGGCTGTCCCTTCAACATAAGCATCTCAGAAAATCTTATTTCAACAATGCTACATTTTTTTTTTAAGAGATTTTTGCTATAGGGCGCGTGCGCTCGCGAGAAAGACAGACAGAAAGCGAGAAATCATCCCCCGGGGAAAGGGCCACACCACAATCCCTTCTCCATTCTCCTGTTGGGATCTTGGGCATGCAAGCACACGTTCCAGGCATGAGTTTAAGCCACCGGGTCTGGGACTCAAACCGCAGTTGACTACATGGGAGTTCAGCGATATAGCCATTATGCTAACTGTTGGTCCCAATACGCTACTATTGTTCAGATAGCACTTTTAAAAAAATGTTTATTTTTATTATTTATTATTTATTCTTTTAGTTTGCTATAGAGTGTATGTGCTTACCAGAGATGGGGGAGAGAGAGAGAATGTGAAAAATCATCCCACTCCACCCCTGGGAGGATGGCCATACCATAGTCCCTTCTTTTCCATTCTACTCTTGAGGTTTGGGGTCTGTTTTTCAGTCTGACTGGTCTGAGACTCATGCGCACAGACAACAGTGTGGGATCCAGCTGCTTTAACCTCCATGCCACCTGCTGGCTCAGATAATACATTTTTAAAACTGCTTTTCATATAGTCTGTAATATTCTTTTGGACACCTTCAAAACTGGCAAATGTTCTAGATCTTCATATCCTGGAAATGTATTAATTTTAGAAATTTTAACTATGACTAGGAACAAATGGCTGAGAAACACATCTGAATTTGAAACTCCATCTCACTATATACAAGAGATCTTCAGAAAGTTTATAGAAAAAATGCATATTGTGAAAAAACTGCATGGATTTCAAAATTTCTTTGTACCAAAATAAACTTATCCTTTAATTTCTCACTTACTTTTGGAAGTCCCCGCATGCTAGCACTGAGGCCTTGCACAGCCAGACCTCTTTAAGCATTAGCTGGTAAATATCCAAGTCCCTGAGTACTGCCACTACCCTTGTCCCTCTCCCACCAACTCCATGGGCTACAGCCTAGCGAGGGAGGGGCCTCTGAAACCAACTCCAGTCTGCCAGTGTGGATTCTTTCTTGTTTGCCAGGTTGGTCAGTGTGCACAGCAAAACTAAGAGATACTAATAATATTTTTCCCACCTACAGCCCAAGTGTCTTAGGAAGACTGAATGAACTGTGCATGTTATACACTCATCACAGGGCCAGGAATGCAGTCAGTGTTAGTTTCCATGGCCAATATTATTATTAATCTAATAACTAGTTCAATAACCATGTATTGATTTATCATTAAATAACCCTATGTACATCATCAAAAATTAATCATAAATAGCATTTGGAAAGTTTTAGTGAGTATGGCACATGAAGCAGATGATGAAGCCAGATCAAAACTAAGGTACAACTTTAAAATGATGAACAGAAATTTCTTGAGAGGTAGAATGGCATAAGAAAAAAAAAAAGAATTGGGTTTCAGGGAATCTGGCCTAACTCTGCTGCTTGGACAGGGTACTCACCTGTTTGCTACTGAACCTTGAGGTTACCTATCAAATCACATAAGGGTTACTTTAAATGAAAACATAAGTGTGAGAGCCCCACAGTGAACTAAAGTACCATTGGGCTTAGATGCCTTCATAGAGTTTCTCATTCTCAAAAGAAAAATTTCAGGGACCAGCAGTTAGCATAATGGAAATGTCGCTGATCTCCCACGTAGTCGACCAGGGTTCAAGTCCCGGACCCGGTGGCTTAAACTCACGCCAGGCGCGTGTGCGTGCATGCCCATGATCCCGAAAGGAGAATGGAGGAAGAAGGGATTGCGGCGTGGCCATCCCCACTGGGGAGTGATTTCTTGCTTTCTGTCTCTCTGTCTCTCTCTGTCTGTCTGGTGAGCGCATGTGCCCTATAGCAAAAAAAAAAACAAAAAAAAAAACATCTCTCCAAAAAAAAAAGAAAAATTTCACTGGATAATGGCAAATAACCTGTGAATTGTATAGCCTTTTCCTGTGCCTGCTTTAAACAATATTCATTCAAATATGTCAATCCTGCACTAGTAAATAATCAAATAATCTCTTTCATTATTAAGTTAAAATTCAAAATACACCTATGTATATATCTGTACCCATACCAGTAAATATATATATTGCATTTATATGACTAATACACACAAATATATATGTATACACACATAATCTATAGATTAAAATAAGACAGTATGCCACATTTAGAATACGCTACCTTCTTAGTGACCGCAAAAATTGAAAATAGATGACAAAAGAAGAGTTAAGGTATTTCCAGACAAGAAAGTAAATTTTATCCCAAGGAGTGTTTGATTGTACTTATGACTAACAGTATGACCTTAGTCAATTTCTTTCATTGCTGAGTGTTTGATTGTACTTATGACTAACAGTATGACCTTGGTCAATTTCTTTCATTGCTGCAGCCTTTTCTTATTACATAGTCACCTATTCTGTAAAATGACAGGTTAGGTTGTGAAATTCTAAGATTCTCTGATTCTGCAGTATTATTTCGTCATGAAGCTATTCAGTAAGTAGTCAAGGTTGACCATTACATATATTGAAGAGAAAGTTATTACATCTATTGCGTTTTTGGCATTTATTTTAAATAAGACCATTCACATTTGAACAAATACATTTAGCAAAATAAGTTATTTGACTCAGTTCACATTCCATTCCAGGTTTTAAATATTGAAATATTTTTATTTTGACCAAAAGACTTTTCAAAAAAGTATATTCTAAAACATACTTTCCCATTAATTTTTGTCATTTTCTATCATTATGTGAATATATATATTAGCATAAAAAAGTAAATGATAAATGAAGAAAATCTAAGACTATGTATAACTATCAGCTGCCTTGGGGGGCTTTACCTATGTCCTGTGACTTTCACTTAAGGGCCTATTTACAGACAATAATTACAGTAATATCTCAGTAGAGAGATTATGGAGATAAAGGCTTATCTCTCATAATAAGGTACCTGAGGTGTTCTCTACAATCCATCGCCTCTAATCCATTATACATCTTATTTATAATTCATCTTGATTCTAAAGTGCAGTTACCCAGGCATAAAATCTAATCATCAAAGCAAGAGCTAAGGATTGTTATGAAGTAATACATCCCACTCCAGTTACGTATGCTTTGGATCATGAATACACAAAGCAACACCTTTACAATAGTTTTATGAAATAAAAATTGATAAAAATTTTAGAGACATCAGCATGCGTGTGCTATTCATTTCATGTCTTTATCCAAACTGTGGTTGGAAATAAACAAACTTAAGTATTAGTTACTATTAAAAAGACACTTAGCCTTTGCCTATTAACTGTAGTGTTCTGAAACTTCAGCTCTGCTCATTAGAAATGTTAGTTTGAAAAATGCCTAATTATTGGGACCAGTAGGTGGCATAATGGTTAAGGTGCTAGACTCCCATGTAGTTGACCGCAGTTCAAGTCCCAGACCAGGTGTCTTGAAAATCATGCCAGGCACATGTGCAAGTGGGCCCAAATTACAAGAGGAGAAGGGAGGAGAAGGAATTGTGGGGTAGCCAACTTGCCTCCGAGGTGATTTCTTACTTTCCCTCTCTCTGTCTCTCTCTGCACCCTATGGCAAAAAACTTTAAAAGAAAAAAAAAACTAATTATTAGAATTTATTATTTAAAGCAGAGGCCAGAATACCCTTAGAAGTCAAATAAAGGATATTATTTCTTCACCAGATTTATTGGTGTTGGGGCCATTGAGTTTATTGTACTGTACTTAACCTGCTTCTCAGGTTAGGTCCAGTTTTGGTAATTGCCTAAACTGATCTAAACTCAGTTTAGATTGCCTGCAGGTATCCCTCTTTTTATGACTTTCTTTCTTTTTTTTTTTTTTGGAGAGATTTTTGCTATAGGGCGCGTGCGCTCGCCAGACAGACAGAGAGAGACATAGAGACAGAAAGTGAGAAATCACCCCCTGGAGGGATGGTCACGCCGCAATCCCTTCTCCTCCATTCTCCTCTCGGGATCTTGGACACACACGCACACGCGCCCGGCGTGAGTTTTAAGCCACCGGGCCCGGGACGCAAACCGCAGTCGACTACGTGGGAATCCAGCGACATAGCCATTACGCTAACTGCTGGTTCCCATGACTTTCTTTCTTAAAAGTGTAAAATATCAGGTACTGAACATGTGATTCTCTGTAATACCATGGCTATTAGAAATCCACTGATGCTCTTTAGGTCATGTTTTGATGTTTATAGCTTCTTTCCCTTCCCCCTTATTTTAATAGGGCTTCTGGCTCACAGCTGAATGGCTAGTGTCTATAGGGTTACCACGCAGAAGCTGTCACTTGTGGCAATAAAACTATTTTTTTTTTAATTCTGGAACAATTTATTCCTATTATTAACTCATGAAATTCAGAAGTCAAAATGTGGAAACAACTTGTCTTCTTACACGTGTCCAGCTCTCAAAGTGCCCTTTAAAACTTCTGTTGCACATGACAAACTCTAAGGCTATCTTCCCGAACGTACAAATATTGAAGAACATGGTGTGACTAAGTGGCATTCATCGTAATTTTGTTTCCCAATACAACCTAGAACAGTCAAGGTTTCTTGTATTTTGGCTTTATCCTCAGTAACAATATCTAAAAATTTTTCTGGGATAGAGGTGCCTAAACATTAGACATACACTATCTCATTTAATCCTCACTATACTCTTTAAAAATTACTATTTATTGCATATTTATTGTATCCTACACAGTCGCAAGCATGTTGCCTCATAGGTGTGTCCCTTGATGTTCAAGAGGGATTGGTTCCAAGACCTCTGCTCAACTCCTTTACATAATTGGTATGATATTTGCATATAACCTTCACACTTGTTTGCATATATTCTAAGTCATCTCTTAGTTACATGTAATACCCAATATAATGTAAGTGCTATGCATATACTTTTTTTTTACTGTATTGATCTTTGTTTTATTTTTTATTGTTTTGTTTCATTTTCTTTTTTTTATAGAGACTTTTACTATAGGGTATATGTACTCACCAGAGAGAGAGAGAGAGAGAGACAAAAAGTGAGAAGTCGCCCCTCAAGGGGGAATAGCCAAGTCACAGTCCCTTCTCCTCCATTCTCCTCTCGGGATGTTGGGCATGCATGCACACACACGGGTCCAGGCCTCGAGTTGTGATTGACTGTGTGGGAGCCCAGCAATGTAGCCATCTGTAATCTGTAACCAGATTTTGCCATCTGCTGGTCCCTCAAATGTTTTCTATCTGCAGCTGATTGAAGGTGCAGAACCTATGAGTACTAAGGACTGTACACTTGCACCAGTGTCAATGAATGTGGATTATGATCCCTGTTTTACAGAAGAGGACATTGAAGCTCAGGCAGTTTATAAACCTGCTCTTGATCACACAGGCAGCAGCAAAACTGCAATTTGAATTCCAATAAGTCTGTTTTCTTTTCTTTTCTTTTTTTTTTTTTTGGAGAGGTTTTTGCTATAGGGTGTGTGTGCTCACCAGACAGACAGAGAGAGACTGAGAGACAGAAAGCGAGAAATCACCCCCACCCCCAGGGGGGATGGCCACGCCGCAATCCCTTCTCCTCCATTCTCCTCTCGGGATCTTGGGCACGCATGCACACGCTCCTGGTATGAGTTTAAGCCACCGGGTACAGGATTTGAACTACAGTTGACTGCATGCGAGTCCAGCAACATAGCGATTATGCCAACTGCTGGTCCCAATAAGTCTGTTTTCAAAACCTAGGTAAACTTACACTCAACTGCTATGTTATACAATATCCTTACATACTAGGTGAGAAAACTGAGGTCCACAGTCAGAAAAACTTACACAGAGTCCTATGTAGCAAATCCTGAAAGTGGCATTAAACTCGTTTGCCTGATTGCAAAACTCAGACAAAGATACAAAACAGAGTATTTTTATTGGCTCCAGCACACATATCTATTTTTGTTGTTAAACTTGGGGGAAGAAGAGAATGGGTTTTGCAAAATGGGGGCATATGAAGCTCCCTAATCGCTTTGTTTCTTTTCCTCCTCTCTGCTCTCTCACATTTTGGTATGAATTTGATTCCTACATTGTGATGAAATACAACAGCTTAGAAATAAAGATAGGCAAGCAGAAGAAAATCAAGCTATGAATAATTTTAGCACATGGAGAGAACTTTGAAAAAGTTTGAGTTACAGAAAAAAAGGATAAGATTAGCTCAGGAAAATATTCACTTCCTTGCTTTTCTCTAAATCTCCATTGTTTTCCAGAAAGGATTTTAGACCAGACTCAGAAAAGTACTTCTTTCACTCCCATCTCAGTCACAACCATTCTTAATTTTGCCCCAGTCCACCAAGAGGAAAAACATTTTATACTGAAAAAATCCTAAAGAAAATGAAAATTTGTAAATAATAAAAAACAAAAGAAACCATGGAAGGGAGTGACTGAAAAGAATAAATAGGTTCATTTAAAAAAAAAAAAAAAGCCTCTCAAGTGTGTTTTAAGTTTCTAATCTAATTCTTGAATTGTAACCATCTTTTGGGGAGGCTCTTACAAATGTAATGTCAGGACATAAAATTAATAAAAAATGTCAGGACTGGAAGAAACCTTAGAAATCTTCTGAGTTACTTCACCTGCTGATTTGGAGGCTGAGGATTCCGTGTCTTAAAGACACAAAACTAACTTGTGACATTAGAGTTTCCGTATGTTTTCATGTCATAGGCGCAAGTTTGCATGCCTTTCCGGGATACACATCCACAGCAGAGAATGAGGTGCAGGCCAGTGATTCTGGACTCTAACTGCTTATTAGGAATCTCTAGAGGTGGAGTCAAGTTTCAGTAGTTTTAGTTTGCTATAGGGAGCATGCACTCCCTGGAGGTGGTGGTGGTGGGGAGGGTAGTGACAAAGTCCTCCTGCTCCTTGCCCTCCTCCATAGGGAATGGCCATGCTGCAATCCCTCTCTTCCATTCTCCACTTTAGATTTTGGCTACACACACACACACACATACATCACATGCTTTTTAAGCTGCCAGTTTGAAACTCAAATCCAGTCCCTATAAATAACTTAGCCATAGCTGACTTGTCAGTATGTTTTTTTTTTTAAAGGTTCTTTGCCATAGAGCATGTGCACTCACCAGAGAAAGAGAGAGTGAAAGTGAGTAATAAATCCTCCCTCCCTCGCCCCAGGGATGGACACATACCAGGCTCATTTAGGTGATTGTCCAAAATCCCAAGAGAAAAATGGAAGAGAAAGCATTGAGGTGTGGCCATCCCTCCTGGAAGTGGGGAGAGGGGTATACTTTCTCACTTCCCCCTCCCTTTGGAGAGTACACACCTTATACCAAAAATTAAAAACAAACAAAAAAGCATGGGCATTGTTAAACCTCACTAGGATTTTTTATAGGCAGTGCTAAGAGCAGATATTCTTAATTGAGGTCCTTTCCCATTATTCAGATAAAAATAAACAAGGGGTGCTGTTCTTTCTGCTTTTAAGGAATCTCTTTGTGTATTCTACTGTGTTACCTAGGCCATAGTGAGAGGGAAACATCAGGGGAGTCTAAATCCCCTATTTATGCTTCCTGCTTATGCAGCAATCACTTTTACTTCATCAATGGGATCAAGATTTTTAAGTGAACAAAAATTCCACCTAGCCAAGATAGTGCAACTGCCTCTTTATAGTCTTCAGCGAGGTCTGCAAACTTGACCCTTAACCTATTACTCATAAATCAAACAATGTCTGAGAAATGCAGCAGCTTTGCACACCAAGAGAGCTGAGCCTAGAACAAAAGGCAGCTCTACTCTCCCAACCACTGCAGCCTTCCTCCAGGAAAGCCAGAGACATTTTTTGATACATGTACGTTATAAACCAGAATGAAGATAGTCTTTTTTTTGAGAATTATTTTATTGAACTTAATTTATTTATTTTAATTTTACCAAAGTGTGTGACTGTGTATGTGTGTGTATGTGTGTGTGTGTGTGTGTGTGAGAGAGAGAGAGAGAGAGAGAGAGAGAGACGGAAAATGAGAAAGCAAGCTGCCAGGTCCAGGACTCAAACCATGGTTGGCCATGTGGGAGTCTTAACCATCTTTAACAACCATGCCACCTGCTAGCCCCAAAGATGGAAGTCTTGATTTTTGCATATATCAGTCTCAGTAACAGTTTTCTGTTTGCTTCCAGATTTTTATTGCAAAATGAAAATATATATATATATAGATAGGGAAGGGAAAGATAAATTTTATTGGTTGCCAAGTAGTCCCAAGACATGTAAATTTTTTTTTATTTTTCATCTCTTTTATAGCGTTTTAATTACATTAACATAATAATACAACCATGACACCTTTTTTAAACATTTATTTTATATGCCGAGACTCATTGGACATTTGCTTGTTATCCATTAAACACAGTAGAAACAGATTGTGGGCTGTCAAGAACATTGGAATTCTCTCTTTAGTCCATGTGACTCTTTTTATTTTTAATTTTTTTTTGTGACTCTTTTTAAAAAGCAAACTGTTTTATCAAAAAAAATAATAAGACTCTTTGAGACTTTTTCAGGCTATGAATTGTATATACAAATAAAAGCTTTCCATGCCTGATGTCTGATTCACACAGTTGCTGCCTACACATACCTTGGACACCTGTCAGAAATACACATTAGGTACCAAAATTAGCAGTTGTAAGTGGTGTGGCCCATGACACAGGTGGGGGGAAAACAATTTCAAATTTTAACCACTGAAAAGCACAAGTGCTACTAAAGCAATATTTCTGACTTGGCTGTCCTAAATGCCTTTTTTCTCTTTCAGACATGCTCCCCAGGATTTTATCGTCTGCGTTCTGAACCAGGTGGCCGCACCCCTGGACCAACCCTGGGCACCTGTGTTCCATGTCAGTGCAACGGACACAGCAACCTGTGTGACCCAGAAACCTCCATTTGCCAGGTAAGCTGGAGCTTTTCTTGAACAAAGTCCACATGCTCATTTCTCATTTCTTTTTATGCATGCTCAGATGCTGTATGCAGTGTCCAGCTAAACTTCAGGAACATAACTATGAATGTGTGAAATAAAGCAGGTGGGGGAAAAAGACATTTGCCCTATTCCACATTTTAAAAAGCAATGAAAAAAGATGACTCAAAAAGCCACTGCTCATGTCAAGAAATAGAATATTAGTAGCATCTTCAGAGAACACCAGAGTTTAATGTTTAACAACCACAAAGTATTTCTCTTTTTTTTTCTGATTACAAATAAAAATAAACTTTTTAAAAATAAAATTCAGGGCCAGATGGTGGCATAATGGTAATGTAACTGGACCCATATGAGAAGGTACTAGGTTCATATCCTAAGACTTCCCAGTACACAATGAGATGTCCAAAAGTGTCTATGATCTAGGCTGACTGATGCTGGGGAGTGAAGCCTCATGGGAAGACCCTGTTTGGGCTGTCTCTCTTCCTCTCTGTCTCTCCATCTCTCCCTCTTACTGATAAAAGAAACAAATAACTGAGCTTAAAGAAATAGAAGTCAGCTAATACAATATTTTAGGTATTTTTTACTAATTTAATGTGCATGATTATGAGGAAGATTTACGGAGTACCATTGGTGCAGTTTGATGTTCTGCCTTTTAAATCCTGAGCATATTAGGTTGTTAGATCTTCCTTTACACCTTTAAAGTCTGGTGGAATGTCTCATCGTTTACCCATTTCTCTTAGAATCAAGGCTGCTCTTCCTGTGTTATGTTCTTGCTAACACACTGTCCTCTCTACACCATGCTATCTGCGTTGGAATGATCAGGATTATCATGTCTTTTGCCCTTTTCCTCAGTTACTGTAAGACATTCAGGGTTCTGATGTCCCTGCTCACCTTCAGCCTCTACGCTCCCACACCTCTAGGCATCTTTGCTGACTCTATCAGTTAAAACCCAGCACTGAACATGTGGTATTCACAGTCAGACATCAGCAACATCCCCTACCTAGTCCTCCCATTCCCGAAGGTTATCTTCAACTTGGTCTAGCTGGAGCCTGTTCTCTCTCTGCATGCTGCTCACCTTGAGCCCTCTCAAGTGGTTGCTTTCTCTCACTCCATCCTCCTGGGCATGAAGTAAGGAGGATATCCCTGCCCCTCACTGCCCATTTCAAATCATCTTCCTTTTCCCCTTCAAACCACTACCGGTCTTTCAGTCTCACACCCTGTTTGCCCATTACACGTGCCTGTCTAAGCCACCTACAAGCCCTCAGATCTCTCAACTCATTCTTTGAATATTTTACTTCTGCATTGCTGCCACTCTAAAACTACTCCTATCATAATTACTGGTGATTTTAATATTCATGAAATTAACTAAGTTGTTTGTGCCTCTATGGTCTACCTTTTAAGTATCCTGTTTTTTGACCAATCTCTCTTTTCTCTCAATTCTTTTTTTCTCTTTTTAATACCTCAGTGTTTTTCATCTCACCATTCATATTCACATCTTCTCGTTGTTCCTTTTCTCACATTCTCTCCCTTCCCTAAGCAGTTTAATATTCTGGGACTCTTCATTAATATCAATGTTTTGCATCACTCATTTTCCTTGCTGCTCTCTTTCTTCTTCTTACCGTTAAGTACAACATTGTAAAATCCTATCTCCCCTGTAGCTGCACCTTCTAAGCTGAATGACTCTATAGAAAAATGAGCAACCATGCTGTCTAGTTTCACCTAAAATTCAAGATCACTCTCTTCAAATGGACCCTTTATACTGCTCTGAAATCGTGGCACATTCTCCAATTTATTTCCTGTCCCAAATTCCTGAGTGACTATTTCCTGCTTTCCCTTCCTCCTCAGCCAAAACCTCTCTCCCTCACTCCTTCCCATCTTTGCTCTTCATCGATGATGTTTATTTCACTGAGAAATAAAATTTCATCAGAACAAAGGTAACTTGAGTTCCTGCCACCACAGGCTCCTGACTTCCTTCATCTGTGCCCAGATATCCTGACTCTTTTCCATTACTTTAGTGGAACTATTCTTGTTTCTAGAAAAGATTGAGTCTTCCACACATGCTCTAGATCACACCCTTTCGTCCCTCTTATGGTCATAACTTTGGCTGATCTTCCTGCCCTCCTGTATTATAATTTTTGTTTCTTCTTCCAACTTAAAAACCAAAACCAGGGACCAGCAGTGGTATAGTGGTTAAGGTGCTGGACTCCCACATGGCCACCCATGGTTCAAGTCCCAAATCCAGTGGCATGAGACTCACACTGGGTGTGCATGCATGCCTAAAATCCCTAGAGGAGAAGGGAGGAGAAGGAATTGCAGTATGACCAAAGCAAACTCTCTTGAATTCACTTTCCTTCTAGCTACCATTTAATCTTCTCTGTCAGTGAGGAGTTGTCTATACTATGTCTATAGTTCCTCTCTGCCCATTCTTTCTTGAACTACTAACATCAGGTTTTACCTCTACCACTGTACTACAACCAATGGCTACAGTTCAGCAATGAGTGTTCATCTTACTAGATCCAAAAGTAGGATTTGCCACTGTGAGTTACCCATTCTTCTCAAAGTCCTTTGTTCAGTTTGAAGGCAATGACATTCTAGGGATTTTCAAACTCAACGGCTGCTCCTTCTCAGTCTTTGCTATTTTCTCCTCATTGCCCTGAACTCTATACAGCAGTGTTGTTGGAACTCAACCCTTGGGACAGTTTGCTTCTCTAAGCTCACATTCTCATGGTGATCCTATCTGGGCACGTACCTTTAATACTTATACTGAGATCCCACAGGAACCACTATTTTTATCATTCAATTTTAGATCTACCCTTTAATCTTTCTGGAATTTATTGTAGTACAGGAAAGTAATACTTCTTCAAATACATATTACTGAAAACAAACATGTATTGGTTAATATATGTTTTTTCTTCTTAGTACATCATGGTATCTGAATATATATAAATTTATTTTATCTATATTAAGACAAATTTTAGGATCATATATTCTATTCTACTGACCTTTTACTTCTTGTTACAATGTTCTTCTTACTTTAATTTTCTCATAAGATATAATATCTGGGACCAGCAGTGAGTGTAATGGCTATGTCGCTGGACTCCCACATAGTCAACCGCAATTCAAGTCCCAGACCCGGTGGCTTAAACTCATGTCGGGCACGTGTGCGTGCGTGCCCAAGATCCCAAGAGGAGAATGGAGGAGAAGGAAATGAGTCGTGGCTATCCCCCCTGGGGGATGATTTCTCGCTTTCTGTCTCTCTGTCTCTCTCTGTCTGGCTGGCGAGCGCACATGCCCTATAGCAAAAAAAAACCTCTCCAAAAAAAGAAAAAAAAAAAAGATATAACATCTGTACAGCAGACCTCTTTATTATAGTTTCTAATTTTCTTAATGCTCTTACATATTCTTCCAGCTGAAATTTTTAAAAATTGTTTTTCTATTTTATTTATTTATTTACTTAGTCATTTGTTTCGACCAGAGAGAGAGAGAAAGTGAGAGAGCAAGCTGTGAGGTCTGGGACTCGAACCATGGTCAGTCATGTGGGAGTCCAGCGTCTTAACCACTACACCAACTGCCAGCCCACCAGCTGACATTTTTATTTACTATTTTAATCCCTTCCCCCTAAAAATGATGCTAGGATTTTGGTTCAAATTTCTTTAAAGCAATTTGTAAACATTTCTGTATTCACACTGTTTAGTTTTGATACTGTTTTCTGTTCAAACATTTAATGTTTTACAACTGTTTTGACAGTATATAGATTTCTATATAGAGAGTCTTCATTTCTCATTAAATTTATTTCTATATATCTTACATTTTCATTTCAATGGTAAACATTATACTTTTTGTTTTAACAAAAAAAAATTACTAACTGGTTGTTGCTAAAACATTAACAGAATAGATTTTTGTATGTATTTGATAGTTAGCTATTTTAATTCATTTGTACAAGTTTTTCTATCAATTATTTCAGTTATTTTGCTGTCTACAATAATATTACTTTTAAATAATTGTAATAGTGGTTTTCCTTTCTAGAAATCATATCTATTACAACAATTTTTTACTTTCATATTGATTAAATCTCTTCCAAAAAAATGTCAGATAGAAGAAAATCAGCTTTTTGTTTTATTCTTTATCTTAATATGCATGCCTCAAGTCTTGCACCATAAAGTATAATGCTGCAGGTTAGTTTAAGAAAAATATTTCTTGGGCCAATTCCATAGCATAATAGTTAAGGGAGCCAGATCCCACATTGCCAACTACTATTTGAATCACAGCCCTGGTAGCTTGAAAAACACCCTGAGTGCCTGTGTGTGTGTGTGCTCAAAATCCTGATGGGATAAAAAATGGAGGAGAAGGGATGGTAGCATGACCACCTCCCATGGGGGAGTGCTTTTTCACTCTTTCGTTCTGTGTCTCTCTCTGGAAAGTACATGTGCTCTAGAGCAATTAAAAAATGAAATATGTTAAGAAAACTTTTTCTATTAACCTGAGCTTTTTAAAGATATTATTTTAAAACCAAGATATTTAAATGTATATTTGTTTGTGGAAGATGGGGTAGAAATTAAGATGCATTAAAGAGATGAGCATATGTAGTTTTTTCATGTTAAACAAAATGAGGAATTCTATTATTGGCTAAATTAATAACCAGCATTAACCATCTTTGAATTCCTGAAATACTTATTTGGTTTTTGGTATAGTATTCTACTACTATTCTATTACCATCTGCTTGCCCATAAAATTCAGTGGATAATTCGGTTGGGAAGTGGTTAACTTATAGATTCTTAAATAAGAATTAAATGCAGTTTTCTTTATGCAGTCTTCACTGGTATTTTTTTAGCCAGGTTGAATTTGTTTCATATGATTAATTTAGAAACATTCATAAAACATGCAGTTCACTTATTTTCATTAGAAGCTGGTTTTGTTTGTTTGGTGTCATTTGGTTTTGATTTTTGCCATAGGGTGCATGTACTTGCCAGAGAGAA